AAAAAAGATTTGAAAAATTTTTTAAATTATTTTGTTGTTACGTGTTGACATTGAATCAAAATGATTTTGATCAATATTAATTGTTATCTTTGGTAAAATTTCTGGCCAATTAACTGTTCGAATAGGATTTACTAAAAATAAATATTTATTTGTCTTTTTTGCTTTTAATTTAAAAGAATTTAAAAAAAAAACAAACAAACATTGAGATGATTCATTAGTTGAGATTTCTGATGTTGTTGAACGTGGAGCTGATGGATAACTATTTGAATGAAAATCTTCATTTTGAAATGCTAAAATAAATATATTTAAATGAAAATAAAATAATTGAAAATATATTATTCAAATCAATTATTACTTAATAGATACTTGACTTTCTATAATGAAATCAATTTTTTGTTACAAAAAAAAAAAAAATAGAAGAATATTTATTCTATTTAAATATATAAATAGAACTTTTAATTTCAACTTATTTCTTTATCGAAAAATAGATTTTTCTATTTTCGCTCTTAACAGGGTCAATTAGAAAACATATTTATATTTAATATTTAATTATAATTTAGTTTGTTTTTAAAATAAAAGAAATCGTAGAACAAAAAAATTAACTTAACATGTAAAATAAATAAATTATATTTGTTTCAATCGAGAAAGATTAAGAAAAAAAAAAATTTTCTCTTTCGAAATTTTTTTCTTAAGATATTCTAAGAAATATTATCAATCAGAGATTTATAAAGATTTTTATTCATTGAACATTGATAAATACCTTTTGTTTTTTTTTCCGATAAATAAATTAATTGAAGTTAGTCTTCTTCTATTCTACAGATGAAGTTTATTTCATTTTTTCGGAGCGAAAATTTTCCTCTGATAAATATTGTTTGTCTCTTTCTAATAGATTTATTTAACTCTCACAATAATAAATGGGTAAAATCTAATGAATTTATTACGATAAGATTTTTCGAACAAAAAACAAAAAGAAATATCAAATCTCTAAAATGTCGACAAAAATAGCTTATTAGTTATGATCTATGCAATTAAAAATGTGTAATCTATGGTTTTAAATAAGTAAAAGAATAATATGTTTATAATAAAAATTTGTTTTAGAAAAATATTTTTCAAATTTCAATTTAAAATTTCCGTGAAAATAAAAATAAAATTCTATTGGTTTTTTTCTTTTTTGTTTTTAAGTAAATAATATTTACAATTTTGTTGTAAAATAAATCTTGGTGATGGTTGTGAAAAAAAAAGTGGTGTTGTTGTTCTTGATTGTGGTGCGGAATAATAACCATGATGAATTGATGAATTATTTGTTGTTAATGGAATAATTGATGGTTGAGAATGAATTCTATCAAAACTAAGCGTTGTTTGAGCATTATGTTCTTGTCTTCCTTTTTGTGATAAATGTCTTGAACAAAGACCACGTCTTTGAGATTCTCTTGGACAACCATCTTTTGAACAAAGACGACGCCATTGTTTTCCATTAAATTTTTTACGAATTTGTGATTGTGTTGATGTCATTACATCACCTTTACGATAAGTTATTTGATTATAAATTGTTGTTGGAATATCATTTGAATTATTATTATTATTATTATTATTTAATGAAAAATTTGAACCTATTGTTGATGTTGTTTCTTTTATTAAACAATCACTTGTTGTTACTTTATTTGATTCATTTAAATTAATATTTGTTGATTGTAAACTATCACTTGATGATGATACAGATGATTCACGTGGAGATGAACTTCCATAACAACCTAATTTTAAATTAAAACATTTTAAATAGAATATTATCATAAACTTTATCATATTCTAACATATGCTTATTTCAATCTTGATTAGTACCCGTAAGAACCTATTTATAAAGGATACACAGGAATAAATCAAATTATTTGACTCCTCTTTACCTTACTCACACTCCCTACAATCAGTGTCTTACCCAGCATGGGTAACGAGCAAGGAAGAAATAGCATATTCATCTACTCTCGGGGGGAATGCCAGAGTACAATGGGAGAACAGTTTTATAACTAAGAAAAATCTCGACCTAAATCCCCGAATATAACGACGTACTTCCAAGCTTGTCTTACTGTATTCCATATGATTTCGCGTCGACTCTCACCGTAGTTTGATACTTTCACTGTGGTCTTATAGTTGGAGTACTTCATGGAGTATAGTAATATGTCTTTTCTCTTTCTGAACCAAGGGATAAGTACTTCTCTGAAGATCTGTTTGATCTCCATGACGCCAGTGATTATTGTGTTATATATTGTACTCTCAACAATAGATATTCGCCGTTGAGAAGTTTTAATTCTCTTCAATGGAAGAGAATATCTAGATGAAAGATTGTTCTCTATTCCGATTCGTTCAGTTTTATCGATCTCTATCTACTGAAAATCAAATATAAAAAAAAACATCCTAGAACGAGCCTCCTTTTTTGAACATTTTGATACTTATAGATTTATTAAATAAATCTATAAAAAAACTAGAAGTCAATAAATTTTGTTTTTGTTTTTTTAAATACATTCGATTATAATAAGCAGAAAATTGTTGAAACTAGTCATGTAAGATAATATTCAATAATTTTTCGAGCATATTTATATTTAATGAATTAATATTGAGTTTATTTTTTGTTTAAAAATATTGTTAAAAAAGTATATAATTTATGGATGATCTCTAACCTATTTTTCATTTCCGTTCAATTCAGAATCTTTTTTTTCTTCTCTTAATGTACTTTCCATTAAAAGATTTATAATATTTTCAGTTAAAATTCTAAGTGTTTCTGTCATTTGACTTTAAATAACAATTTCCTTTATGATGACATTCTTTTATGTTATTTTTTTAATGAAGTTTATTTCTTTTCTTTTTTTTTACTCATATAAAAACAATTTTCTAATTGACTATGAAAAATTCTTTTTGTTTTGTTTTGTCGAAATTCTGAAATAAATTTTTTATGAAAAACATCACATTGGTTTAGTAATAATATATATATATTTATATATGTTGAATTTATTTTTTAATTTCATCGATTTTTATCTTAGAAAATAATTAAATTATTAAATATAGATATATGATTTTCATGCTTAATAAATATTTATCATAGGAAAATTCATTTTAATTTCTAATAAAAATTATTCTTAACGATAAAAGAATTTTTTATTTCTCAAATTTATCGAATTTATTCTTATTAATCTCGAAATAATTTAATCATTTTTTTTTCTCTGATGGAACTAAATTAAATCGTTAACAATGAAATATATTTACAATCATGTTTAAAAATATGTGAGAAAGAAAAAAGTTTCTATCAATTATATTCGAGGTATAAATAATGAGGAAATGTTTCTACTCATAAATTCCCAATTGAGTTTCAACCAAACATTAATCAATACTCGGAAAATATTTTCTACTCGTTAGTTATTATTGACGAGTGATTTCATATTTATGCTATTTTTTTTTATTATAATGGCGTCATTTAATTCCACCATTATTAATATAACACACTCACACACACATATTTTAGCATTTCGACTTTGAACTTTCCATAGAGAAATTTCTTCATTAAAATAATTAATATAACGCAAATAAAAGATCTTTTCATTTGTTTATCTTGTTAAACAAACTATGATGATAAATATATGTTTTCAACATCATTAGTTTTCGATAGTCTTATTAAATAATAATAATAATAATAATAATAATATCCAATTTTTTTTTAGATGTGAAAATTTCCCAACAACAAGGAAAAAAAAGATTTCATAAAAATGTTTTTCTCTAAACAAAGTTGAAAGTCGAAACTCGGAAGTTAATCTTTCGTAATATTTCTGTGGGGAATGACGTCATTATCTAAATAAAAATCGTAAATAAACCGATATAATTTAGAAATTTTTCGAATAATAATTGATTATTAACGTTTATAATAGTATAAAGAATTTATAATATAATAGAAAATAAAAAACATAAATAAAGATCTTTTATAAGAAAGATATTCTAGTTGAATTAAATAATAATAAAAAATCTAACCTTGTCGTTGATTTATTTCCGATGTATTTGTTGATTTAAATAAACCTTTAGCATCAAGTGCAGCATTCCAATCAACAGGAATTTCTATTTAAATTAAAATAAATATAAAAATAAATTAAAAAAAACAAAAAAAAAATAAAATCCAAACCATCATGCCATGGTGGTAAAAATAATCTAATTGATTGTCTTGGTACACATAATGAATCTTGTTGATTATCAAATAAAACTTTAAATTTCGCATCATTTGTTTTTTCAATAATAATTCCTGATTGATAAGTTGAATATTTAATATTTGTTTCCGTATGTATTTGTTGTCGTCGACATAAAACATGTTTACCTTCAATTAATTCTCTTATTGGTGGTGCATTATCAGATAATATTCCAAAAAGATTTTCGAATAAATTAATTTCAATTTTATTTGAAAATAAATTATCATTTATAATTGATGGTGCAACTGTTAAATGACCATTTTTTGGTATATCAATTATTGTACCAGATATATATTCATTTAATTGATTATTTCCTATATCAACAAGAACTGTTATTGTTTGCCAATCTTGAAAATTATATTCATTTATTAAATTATTTATTGATGATAGATTATCTAGTTTTTTTTTTAAAAAACAATAAATAAATAAATAAATAAATAAATAAAAATCTTTTTAAAATACCTTGAATATTTGTATTATTTAATTGTTGTTCTTGATCAACATTATGATGAGCTAACCAACGTTTTTTTAATGGTTTAGCTTGTGATGATGATGATGATGGGGATGAATTATCATTTTGTTGTTGATCATCATTTGTTGTTATTGTTGAACGTCGACGTTTTTCAATTTGTTGATTTAATGTTGGAGATGAACGTGAAGCTGCAGATGATCGAGTTAACATTCTAAATTTTATTTTATTTTTTATTTTCATTTTATTTATTTATTTATTTTAACTTACATTTAAACAAAATAATCATATTGCAAATATAACTTAAATAAAAAAACCACCGGATATTTATAAGTAAAAAAAGATGTCTTCTTCTTTTTATGTTTCTTTTCTGTGTAGGTGGATGGAATGCACAGATTTCCCTTTCTTTTTTTGTCAACGATCAGACAAAAAAAAACAACAACAACATAAACTAATCAATAGATATATATATCATCTATAAATAAATATATGTTTATATTTCAATCATTAATAAATAAATAAATAAATAAATAAATAAATAAATAAATAAATAAATAAACTAAAACAAATCTTTCACATAGAACATGTGTCAAACATTTATTCTCAATTTTAATTATCTTTCTTTTATATATAACAACAATAACAACAACAATCTTATATCTGACGTCACAAATAAACGCACATACATATTATTTATATAAATGTATAAACACTTTTTTGACAGATTTCTAGATGGCGTTCTACTACGAAACGTTTATAAATGGTTTAAACATTTTTTTGACTTAGTACTCAAAATCTAATCGAAACAAAAGAAGAATAAAAAGAAACAAAAAGAAAAATATAAGAATTGGTCAACCTTTATTAAAATATGTCAAGTACTTAATAAAGTATTAATCTAACTTTGAAAGTTGACTCATATTAAATGGTCTGAGGTTTTTTCTTCTAAATAAAGATAAAAAGAGTTCTTCAATATTTAACTTACTAAAATCGAATATTTGAATAATTGATAAAAAAATAAAAACAAATATAAGATTTTGTTCGTTATTTAATGTATACAATATAAATGAGAAAAAATAAGAAGAAGAAAGGTAAGTAAATATCGGATAATATCTCATCATGAGTCGACTGAAATGAAAAAAAAATGAGAAAGAAATGAATATTTATCAAACGAGTTTCTTTTTTTCTTTTTAATGTTTGTTCGTCTTTTTTTTTTCTTCTAGAATCAACCAGGTCAAAATATTATTTATTTTGCTTCCTTTTTCTTTTTTTTCTTACTTCAATTTTTTTTTTAATGATATTCAAATCTATGAATATGTTCATTCATTCATTCATTCATTCATTTATTTATTTATTTAAATAATCTCAATTTAAATCGACTTTTTTTTATTGTTTTATTAGAACAAAAAGAAAAAACTAAAAGAAAAAAATTTTCAAATGGAATAGAAAACAATACTATCAAATAAAATACTTTCCACATTTGATATTATATGGAAAAAGAAATTAAAAAAAGACTCAATAAGAAATTTTTTTCGATAAAATCCAATGGGAAAAAAGAAAGTTTATTCATTTTAGATTATTTTTTCTATTTGCTTGAAAATCATTTAACGTACAACGACTTTTTCTTCTTATTATTATTATTTCAACTAAAATTTTCTTGTTTTAATTATCTTTTTTTCTATTTTATTTTATTTACTAAAAAAGACAAACTGACGAACGTTCAAAATGAGAATGAATGAATATAAATAGAATTCTATTTACTTTTTTTTCTTTCTAATAGAAAATATATTAATGCGTATATGATAATATTAATTCTTCTTTTCTCATTTTCTTTTCAATAATAATGTTTGAGTGAGACACGTTCATACGTTGACTTAATTGTATGCATTCGTGCATACGATTTGATTATGAATAAATAAATGAAAAATAGCAACCTTCATAGAAATTTTCACTAGAAACAAAAGAAAAATGAGCGCTCGAGGCATTTAATATTACACCTGATCAGAAGAAGCAAAAAAAAAACGAAAGAGAAAGAGAAAAATGATGTACATATGTTCATTTGATAGTTTGGATAAAAGAAAAAAAAAAAAAAACAAGAAGAAGGGATATGTAGGATTGAACTAAGTCAACAAAACATCGACAAGGATCATCCATTAGACAAACATATATCATCTACTTACATACAGGTGTAATAAATTCATTGTTCAACAAATTATTATTGATAATTTTCTTTTTTTCATTGAAAAATAATCGAAAGAAAATATAATATAGTCAATCTCTTGAGAAGTTAACTATTCTCAATGGAAAATATTTCAATAATAATTTTAAAAAATTAACCTCCATGACCTTTTCTCTTTTTTTTTTCTCTTTTTTTTTTCTTTTTTCTTTTATCATAAAAAAAGAAAAATTAACTTAAAATGAGAATCATTTCTATTTTAATTTATTTAGTTTATTTATGGAAAAAAAAAAAACAAAGATTGAATATAGATAAATATTCTTCTATTGAATATATATAACTCGTTTATTGTTAAGAAACAAAACAAAACAAAAATCTTTTTTTCTCATAATAAAATAATTTATTATTAATTCAAAAATAAAACAAAAATCTTCTTTTCCTTTTTTTCTCGATCAGATAAATCAAGCATAAATGACTCGTTTGAAAGATTTTTTTTTGACTAAACGAACGTACTTACATCAACACTCAACATGAGTAACATTAATGCACTCTCGTTTCCTTTCTATATTTTCTTTTGCGACCACTTTTAAAACTGAAGTAACAGCCGCTGCCATCACCCATATGTGTCTATACTCATGGCTTTTACATACATGAATGGGTGTGGAAAACGGAAATCGATTTATGTGACAATTGTCCTCATTCGACATATAACTATATTTATAAGATATGAACTATTTCGGCCAACTGACTGTTTTTTGTTTTTTTTCCCAGTGAACTTTGTGATAACTGTTGAAAGTTATGTTAACTTAAAATATTTTCTCTTAGCAAGTAAATATCATATTAGAAGACTATTATTCATAGTTCCATTAAATTTATTGCGAAAATAAATATAAAAAGAAAAAAAAAAATCTTGTTTTTCTATGTGTTCTTACATGTGAAGAAAGAGGAAAAAAAGTAACTTGTGAAAAACTTAATAATAACAATAAATGATGTTGTAATGAGTCTAACTCGACACCTGCATTTCGTCTTGTTCTATGCTCGTCCTAATCAAATCGATGGTCTAGTTGAAATGAAGGAGAAAAAAGACACGACGTGTTTCGTTTGTCAAGAGCGACAGATAATAGATAATACGTGACTTGAATAGACTAGTTAAAACATACGAGACAAACATACACGCATTTCCTATTATATCTTTAGTCATCTTAAAATCTTATTCTCATTTATTATTGAAATTTATTATTGAAATTTTTTCTTCTTTTTTGATTAACAAAAAGATAAATTATATCTCTAAATACATACTTGTCTTCATTTTGACAAGACCTTTCTTTCTTCTTCTTCTTCTTCTTTACTTTTTTATCATTGAAATATCAAATGGCTAATTAGTAGCTATATGCCGTAGAAAAAGAAAAACATAGAAGAAAAAAAAAAAAAAAAAAAAAAAAAAACTGAAGAAAACAGAATTTGTCGGAATAGTTTTTTTTCTTTTTCTCTATCTCGGAAATCGAAAACGTAGTCTTACCTTGATTCTCTTCTCATGTCTCTATATACTGACTATTGATGATGATGTGAGACATGCCAGTCTCGTTTACTATTAATAGGCACTGTGCGCGTTTTATTCATTCATTCATTCATTCATTTCATCTCATCTCGGCAGCGGCAAGAGCACGACAGGCATCCATCTCGCTTTTTTTCTCGTTTCTATATATTCTATTTGATTCCCTGTGTGTAAATGCAAAAAGAAGAAAGAGGTAAAAATAGTTCTTTCTCTCTCTTTTCTCTCTCTCTCTCTCTCTCTCTTTTATTCTACACGGCAAAAACTGTTGATCATCAACAATGAACTATTTCCCTGATCATCGATCCATTGGACAACATCATTGAATGAAAAAAGAAGAAAAAGAAGAAAAAAAAGAAAAGACAGGTTCTAATCACAAATCATTCCTCTCATCACACCACATTTTCTTTTTTTCTTGTCTTTCTTTTTACTTGTTTCTAAATGTGAATGTATTCTATGTATATACATTTCAACTTGCATGAGAACATTTTCATTGTGAATAGAATAAAAAAAAAAAAAACAAAAAAAAATAGAAAAAATATGCCGGAAAGGGAATATCACTAACGAGATGGGAAAGAGATGCATGCACATACATATACAGGAAAATGCTTGTCTCTCGACGAGCGAAACGATAGTCAGATAGCGATAAGAGAGAAGAGCTCGATTTCCGCAATTACAATTATGATTCGCATTGATTTGATCATCTTCTGGGAGGTAAACAATCCTCACTCTCTTGATGAAAAACGCCTTTTCTCTATAAATTTATTTTATTTGATTTTCATTTTTATTTTTATTTTTATTTTTATTTTCTTAATTAAACAAATAATTGATCAACAATAATCATAGAAATAATATTTTCTTAACAATAGATAAATGTCAAGTTACAATCATTGACAAATATTTCTATATCTATATTACTTTATATAATACAGTATATAATTTTTGTTTCTCTTATATATTTGATTGTCGTCAAAGGGAATAGTTTAGTGATGTTTGTCGATTGATATGATCGAGAAGGGAACACCTGAGACAACATTGATGGAATTCACAGGCACTCATAACAAATAGTTATGACTATGGATTTATTCTTTATTCTTTATTCTTCATTGAATGTAACATTAGGGAAATAAGTTTCCGTCTAACATTAAATGTCAAAAAATAGACAAGTGTAGAATAAGCAACTGCCAATCAAGCAACTCATCAACACACAGAACCGAGATAGTAAAAGGAAATTTGCTTTGCTTTTGGTTCGAGACAAATTTGGCTTGAGGCCAATCGTTATCGATGAAAAAAAGAAAAGAAAAGTTAGCTTATCAAATAAAACTCATTTCTATTATATGAATAACTCTTCGAAAATAAAAATGCTTCCTGATTGAACTAATTATATTCTCAAGTACTAAGACAAACATTAACTAGATCATAACAAATAAAAAACAATTTGTTCTCGAACAATTTTTTACTTACTTATTTAGATAATAGAAGAAGAAG